TCTCTCTCTCTCTCTCTCTCTCTCTCTCTCTCTCTCTCTCCCTCTCTCCCTCCCTCTCTCTCTCTATTTTCTATTCTGTTATTTTCATCTACGAATTATTATATTACATGTAATTTTATTATTTATTTTACGTAGTAATTATATTATTACGCGTTGTATTAGAGCATTATTATGTACATATATTATGTTTATATATTATATTATACGGATAATATTGTATATTTACTATTGCAATTATATTACCATATGTTACGTAGTAATTTCATGATAATTTTATGGAAATTATCATGTAATCATATTACATATAATTATGTATGTTACACAATAATTACACCATAATTTTACCAGAGTAACTTTACTAATAATGACGATAATAATTTTTAACGATAATAACTTTTAACGATAATTACATTCTAGTGACTTTATTATTTTTTTGCATGAAAAATTTACTTCAAATCCTGAACTCGATAAAGCGATACCGCGACACAGAATAAGGTCGCGAAAGCAAGTTGTAGTCTCGTTCGCGTGCATCGCACACGAGTTACTGTGATTTTGTTAAATTTGCAAAACTTTTCTTTAGCAGAGATTATTTTTCTCGTCAGCGAGTTTTTCGTCTGGTCCTCATTCACAGTTGCCCGAACTGAAATTTTTTTCCCGCGCAGACCGCGACTCTTCGGGTTCTCTGATGAGGAGCCACCACTCGATATGCGACGACCTGACAACTGCAACGGCCCATCGATAATGCGCTGCCGCGACTCGTGGGCGGCGGGGCCCTTATCGTCGAGGAGGAGGGATCGGGTCCGGGCTGTCGGATTTTACGAGCGGAAAGTGAATTTCGCGCGGACGTCCGACCAGGCGAGACGCGACGCCGTTAATTCGCAAACGGCGGCTCGTCTCGCGTTTTTACGGCCGTTGCGGAATGACGGGTTGCTTCGCTCTCCGCTCTCACTCTCTGGCGAGGCAAACGGGAGGAAGAGAGAGCAAAAAAGAAATAAAAAGAACGGAGATAGAAACGCTTGAAAGGTACACCGATGTAGCCGAAATAATAACGGGCATCGTGAACGAGATTCGAGAATGGAAAGTGTGATCGACCTCGCAATCGCGGACTCACCGAACGCTCAGCTGGACGAAACCCAGACAGACTTTCGTGATTATCACGAGGTGAATCACAATAATTTTGTGACAAAAAGTTAAAAGTGCGTAATATCTTGAAGTAAATATTAGAGATGTGCGAACTATTCGAATCGAATCAAGTGAAATTCTATTCGATTCAAATTCGAATCCCTATGATTCGAACCCGAATAATTTGAAAATTTCGAATCGAAAAGATTCGAATACGGATCACGCACATTAACAAAGAACTATTAGAGACATCCAGCCTTACGTGAATTAGCATGACTTGAAAAGTTTGCTATATATTAAGATTTTCTTCAAAAATATTAAAAGAAGATAATGGCTTCTAGATAAACTCTCACCGACAACTGTCGGATCGATATGTGTCGTTGCGCAGCTTTCAAGACTGGAACTATGTTCTATACACGTTTACCGACTATATATTATATATCTCTTATCTTAAAATGAATTGATCAATGTTATCTCTCTCATTTTTATGTTAAATTCAATGATTATGTCAATTAAAAATCCTTTCAACGATTCGTTTCGATTTCATTATATTCGATTCGGGTGAAATTTCATCGATTCGATTCGTTATGAATTCGAAATTAAAATCTGAGATTCGTTTCGACATAAAAAATCTTTAATTCGCACATCTCTAATAAATATATAATAATTTCAATTGCAATCTCTCTCTCTCTCTCTCTCTCTCTCTCTCTTATTCTCTGTGTATGTGTGTGTATGATCCAAGACTACAAAAGTATTTTGTCATAATTTTTACTACAACATAATATTTTCTCCGTGCACTTAGTAGAATTAGCATAGCTTCATAATCGGTCTGATTCTCCGAGCGAGCTCGTTCGCCGATAGTGCCGCGTTCGAGAGAAATTCGCGCGGCGAATCTCCAAGTCGTAACGAATCGAGACTGCAATAATCGCGGCCACGGCGTAATCGCTAATTACTCGTTAACGATTAAAACCTAATTACGAAAGCGCCGACAGTATCTCGTTGTATCTCGACAATACGGTGATTATCCTTGAATCCCGCTTGGGGAAGATCGCTGATCGCTCATCGACCAGACCGAACGAAAGCTCGCCGACGGCCTCCTTCTTCGTATTACGCGAACGCGGGAATTAAATTAGAAGTGACATAACGGTCTAGTGATTCGCGATGCTAATGCGAACGCGATATCCTGTGTCCCGCGGTCTCTTCCTCCTTCCTGCTTTCTCTCAGGGTACTTACCTAACTTCATCAGTCACTGCGCAAATTATTCACGTGTTGAACAAAGCTCGATGAGGAGGTGAAACTACGGTCCGCTCGGAAAAGCGCCGATCGAAGGTGCTTCAACCTCTTCAGGGATACACTCGCACGCGTGTACGTGTAGATACACTTTTTCTTCTCTAAGAATTTCACTTAATCGCAATTTTTTCTTTCCAACTCAAATATTACCGATAAAGATACAATGAACGTTATCGTGAATTATTTGTGAATAAATATTTACTACGAAACTCTATAAAAAAAAAAATAAAAAATATCTCGTCATGTGACAGATACACTGAGAAAAAAATTGTTGATCTAAATAAATTATAATTATTTTCGGTCTAATCACGTTTTTTGATCGTTCTGACAGTAAAATGGTAGTAGTAACATATATATAAGATTATTATCATTAATATTATAGTAGAATTTAATTAAAGAACGATTTTCTTATGTATCATAATTTATAGTAATTATTTCTACGCGATTGTAGTTGCAAATACAACATTTCTTTCTCAGCGTGGACGCCATATTTGAAAATTAAATTTGCTTCTTCTGACTTTAACAAATTCGTCCCTGAAGAAGTTAAAACCACCGACACACGCACAAAATGGAAAACACAAAATTCCTATTACGAGATAAGCCACGGAGGAATTTCTCGCTTCTAATTTTCTCTCCACGATATCCGTGAGACGTTCCGCGCAAGATGCGTCCAGGAATTAATCTTGCGACAAGGAGAGCAAGTGAGAGTGGGAGGGAGCGCGTTCCGTTCGGAAAGATCCACCGCGGATGACGCGGCGAACCTCAAATTAACGAGTCAGAGGAGGCGTAGAGGCGAGGTGAGCGAGACGGGATGGGGGGAAACGGAACGCGCGCGTAAGCCGGCCCGGAACGTAATTTTCAGGCAGATGTGCGGCCACGAAAGGGAGATCATTGCACCGGAGCAAGGAGCAGCTGAAGTAGCGTGAGAAAATGCGGCTTGCGGATCGTCGTTACTGGCGCACGCCGCGGGATGATAGTGACCGAAGGGCAAAGTCAGGGCCGTCGCGCGATCTTGCCGAGTCCCAGAGATTTCACGAATCGAGAGTCGTGAGAGTTTGTGTCTGAGAGAAAAGAAGAGAGAAGGAAGAAGGCGATAAATTAACGGACGGTCGCGGCCAATCAGATGATATCGAGCGCACTAATTACAAGGAAAAGAGAAGAAAATATTGAAAGCATCGCGTCACGTGTGAATTTTCACCGGATGAAATAAATTCGGAGAACGGGCGATCGGTTCTGAATTAACGGACGGTGAGTTATACGACGCGATGTGAAACGCGATTTCATCGGAATACAACGAACGCGGCGAGGAATCCGCGCGCGCGTCAGAGTCAATAAAAGACGCGATAAGTGCGCGCTCGCTCGATTTACGAGGGGAAACTGGTCGGTTGTAAATTAGAGGAGTTGTAAAAAGCGAGCCTCGTAAAGCCACGGCCGACGTTAGAAATGCCGCGAGCGTTAGAATCCAATTAGCACGCTAATGAGCGACAGAAACGTCGCGGGATGATTTCTGCTCCTTCATGTGGCGTGTCCAATAATCACGCCGATAAAAACACTCGTGCCAAAGATACCGATCGCATCCGGGAACCCGTCGCACTTAAGTACAATCCTGAACGGCTTCATTCACGTCCCTTTCACGTGGGGAGATTTCGTCAATGAAATTAAGCCGGGCGCATCGAATGAATCTAATGATTCACTTGTTATCGTTGATCGTGTCTCTTTACGAAGGAACGAGCGGAGGGAAGAAAGAAAAATGAGAATAAGAGGGAAAGAAAGACAAGGAGGAGAGAGAAAGAGAGAGAGAGAGAGAGAGAGAGATAGAAAGAAGGAATGTCGAATGACTCACCGTTTATCAAACCGTCGCCGTCGCTCAAGTCGCACTTCAGACCGTTAGTGATCACCTGAAACACGTATAGAGCGTCGATTAGCGACGATTTTACAAATAAGTACTAAGAAAACCGAAGGTTATAAATGCCTTTTACTCGGATGAACTTCTCAATGCACACGGAAAAAAGTTTTCGTGTCATCAACCAAAAATTTCTTACCATTCTGAGGTTCATCAAAGTAAAAGACATACAGAAAAACAACTCCGTAGTATAATTGAATTTTCTGTTATTCTCTGAGAGCCAGATGAAAAACTAGGTTGTGAGAACAGAAAGATTCCCATAAGAGGTTTCTGCTCAGACAATTGCTTTCAGTTATCTCGACTGAGTTCCAGCACAACTGAGTGTTCAAACAAATGTTATCGACCACGATAGATTCTTATTTGTTGTCAGCGAGTCTTTCATCTGGTTCGATTTATTTACACGAACTGAAATTTCATTTTAGGTCATAGACTCGTTAACGTTTCGTCTGACTGAAAATATAAAATAATCATTAAAGAAGAATTTAACAGTGATCACTAAAGGAAAATTTATTTTCTGGAAAGCAACAAATTCTCTGCAAACTTTTTACCAACAAACAAATTCTCCTATTTCACACGGACACATTGCAAAATTATTGAACTAATCGCGAATAAAGGGAGTGTCACGACAGTTTCTTCTCGTTTCTATTTTGGATTAGACAAGAGTCGCGGAGTGGACGAAAACGACCGTATCCGAAGCTCGTCAAATGGAAAAGCGTTGCGGCGCAGCTTTCCGCCGTCGGCTGCACCATTCGCGGTTGCACGCGATATCTCGATTCAACGTATCTTCTGGTGGCAATCTCGGCGGAGTGCCGCGCGATAGAAAGTCCCCGCGCGCTATTAAGTTATTCGTGACTATACTCGCATAATAACTTCTATTACACATTCTCGGTGGCGCGAACGACAGTCATTCGATTTCCGACATCCGGAATGCCTGAGTGTGTCCCACACGCGTGCGTTCCTCGCCACGCCGCGCCCCGCGTGGCCGGCAAAACGCTCGCCTCGGTTTCGCATCTGCTCCGTAGGCGAGAATCGAAAGTCGCGCGTCGTTCTCGCGCGCGGCCGTTATGGCTTCCCGTCACCGTCATCGATGATTTCACTGAGATATCACTCTTACTCGCGTCCGTATACACGCGCCCGAATGTACAGCCGCGTGTCTAACAGCTCATAATCTCGCGTCCGGCCTTTGCGAAACGCCGTTTCCACGCGCAAAATCGGATAAAGCCGCCGCCGCTTCCGGTTGCTATCTGAAAGATGATGACTGGTAATTGCGGCGGTTTTCCATCCGGCGTGAGACCACCGTTCGCCGTGCAACGAGCTGCACGATGACCGCCGCCTGGGAGGACGCATAAACGCGCGATGACGAAAATCAAGCATTACGCATGGGAACGTACGTTAATCGCGCGGGATCACCTATCGAGCGCGTATGCTAATGATATAAAATTAGCCGCTCGCCCGCAATCTAACGTGAGATACGGACCTGAGAAAGCCGCTTTAATCCCTAAACGCGCAATTTACTTCCGTTACGTTACAAGGAGGTGTATCTTTCGAGTTTAATGCGCGTTTCGTAACGCGGAAGAAATAAGGTAAATCTCTCTTTTTCTATGAGAATTCCATACACTGAGGGAAAAATCACCTTAATATCAACAAATATTTCTTTGATAGATGCCATTAACATATTTATTTAAATCTAAATCCTCTTTATTTAAACTAAATATTGTTTACTTAAATCAGGTAAACAATATTTGATTTAAATAAAGAGAATTTAGATTCAAGTAAATACGTTAAAGGCACCCATCAAAAAAATATTTGTTGATTTTAAGATAATTTTTTCCTCAGTGTAGCAATTCTTATCATAAAATGCCTCACACTGAGAGAAAAAAATAGTTGGAATAACTATAATCTCACTATATTTTATGGTTCGTTTTGGCCTCAAACATATATTTATAGTTCATCTAAACATGAAGATATAATAGAATGAACAGATTTATAGTCACCATCTTATTACTCTATATATATGGTAAAGCACCTTTTGGGAATATAGTTACATGTACCTATATTTGCTAAATATTCCAATTGTATTGACTGTATAAAATAATTAATTTCTTTTACCATTTAATATTTGCTGCCTTACTATATTTTTTATTTCAAATAATTATAATTTTAGGTAAAAATTTTACACAAGTCAATTATACTATGCTTATATTGTAAATATTACAAATATTATGGTAACATTTACTATAAAAATTATATTCCTAACTATAATCTTTTTACTATGCCATTATAGTTCCAAATATCATAAATTTTTCTCTCAGTGCACGTACAGCCCCTTTAAGATACTGAACTTGAAAGATACAAAATTATCTCACAGCTCGAAATCGAAGCACCTGTTGTCGCGAAATTTATGCGTTGACGAATTTCAGCAAGATCGTCTCCGCGTGTAACTGGTTATGAAAATTACCGATTACACGACCGGAAAGCATGCGGCCGTGCCATATAAATTCCGAAATCTATATACATCGCGCGTTCTCCGTCGCATGAATGAAAACGTCTGCCTCTTGATTTACGGTTTATGCGCGCACGTGCCACGTTGTGGTCGATACTGAGGCCTCGTGTACTTATCGCGAGCACATCCGTCCTCGATTTCGGCTGCCGACGGCGCTCCTTCGAGACGCGACGCGAAAGCACGAGAGGAATGAAGTGTGAAGGACGGCACATTCTGTCGAGCGCACGCCGGAACCGACATCAGCTCGTTCTGTCAGATGTATTCTAAGCGAATCCCGACGGGATTTCATCGTGAAAACGCGAAAACACGATCGAGCGAGCCTTGAAAAGGACGGCGGTGCCCGGCCGAGCGGTCTTGCAAACCGCTCTTCTGTCGCCATTCATATGCAAAGCTGAAAAGGAACGGTGCATGCAGGTGCATCCACGTAACGAGATCATAAAAGACCGCACGTGTCGTGTTTGCCACCTTACTGCGCCTCGTAGGGAATGGCACGAATATCCTTACGCCATCCTGCGCTCCGCTTCAATCGCGAATTTAATAAATTGGGTTTTATTATTCTAATTATACATCCTACTGGATGCTCGTGTAAATAAATTAGAATAGGAAGATAATAGTGTTTGACAGTAAATAAATAATAACGCGCATTCGGATGTTTAAATAAAAAAAGGAAGGTATTAATTAATTATAAATAATTGGGATTTAGAGTCGGTTTGATAGTGGAAGGTTTGGTTCATCGCGTAACGTCGAAAGATACACGGAAAATTATCGGGCACGTATGTTGACACTATCAAACACATTATTATCCTTCCATTCTAATTTATTTGCACAAACATCTAGCATTGGCTCTCATTGGCCTTATTTCTTTTAATTAGTTAATGTGCATCAGTCTATCGGAGAATATTAAAAAAAAATTTAGAAATTGAAAACAATTACATATTTCTACACGTCCCTTTTACTGTTTTACATATATATATATATATGTATGTAAAATACTGTTATAGAGCCAGCGAAGTTTTAGTGTTGCAAAAAATTAGTCGCAGGTGTCGGACATTTGCGACAAATATTCATCGCGACAAGTCGCTTTAGCATTGCATTTACTCGAGAATAAATACGTCGGCATCGCAACTCGACGTTTCTCCGGCCGTGAAACGAAACCACCAAGCCACCGTATGTAGACCGTAAGAGCAATCTCGCGAACATATTGCGTGTATCTCACACTGTGCGGTGTGGTGGTCGCTAATTCGTACCCTCTCGCACGTGTCGAAGTGTATACGCGTTGAAAAAGTGAGACTGACCGCAGAAAGAGAAACAGAAAAAAAGAGAGAGAGAGAGAGTGCGTTCAGGTCTCACCCTGCGAGTGTTTACGTTCATACGTACCGCACGTCGACTAAACGAGTTAGTACGGGACGTTCACAGTGTGTCGAAGGGGGCCGCAGAGCGGGTCCCCCGGAAGGAAATGGAAAGTATTAATATTTCTCGCACGACAGGGCGGCGAGGGGGCACAGACGCGGCGGCAATTGTCGGCGGTGGTTACTCAATCTACTCGCATTTACGCGCGGCACCGCCTCGCCGCGCCGGGAAAAACACGAAGGCCAGATGGCCGAACCGTCGGAGGGGTCGATTCTCCTTGGGGTGCGGCACAGGGGTCATTAAAATAATCCCGCGAGCATTTTTCAGCGGCGAGTGTGTCACGAGTGCGTCGCGCTCGCACGACACCCGAGAGGACACTGGGTCAATGAAAAAACTCTCTTCAAATTACATGGGGTCGAATCTCACTGACAAGCGCAGACGAGAAGTCGCAATATTTTCACGCGAATACTGCCAGTCGCAAAAGTGAAGGATTTCTTTTAGCTGAGTAATCGTCACTTTAAATCTTAATTGTACATCTCCACCCACGGAGAGAACGATTTGGTTGAATCAAATAAACACTTCTTTGGAATAGTCCAAACGAATTTTTTGATTGTTCGAACAAAATTTTGTTTGACGCAACAAAAATATTTATTTGCGGCTTAATTCCAAAGGAATATTTTTGTTGCGTCAATTCAATTTGTTTGGACTATTCCAAAGAAACATTTATTTCATTCAATAAATCGTTCTCTCTCTGTGCACACAGCACGACGAATGCAAGTTTACGTGTTCCCGAAAGTCGCGTTTCCGCAAGGATTCCTCAGCACTGTCACTTTCGAGGTGGTCTTCCTCGTACCGCGCGCTAACCTCCGTTATATCGTGGCCGTTCCCGAAACGGTTAATTTAATGTTCAAACGGCCGGCGCGCGATCACGGCCAGGCTGAAAAGCGCGCGTTTTCTCCTCGGAACAGAGCGATAATTGTGCGCGAGCCCGTCGCTGATCTCCATCCTCGTCTAGTTACGACGAGGAAAGTCGTACGGCGAATGGATAACGCGCTGCTTTTCCTGTCGTAACTTTCGGGAAAGGTCAGTCGGATCGGCGAGCCGCGGATCAGGCGTTTCCGCTTGCGTAATTCGCGAGAGCG